ATTTTAGTATGTCTTCATAAATATACGAAATATTAACATTATAGAATCAGGATAAACAAAGTTTTTAAAAAAAACTTTTTCAAAAATCTTACAATATATGAAAATAAAATTTCCATGTTTAAAAGAAACCCAAAACTTTGACCTTAGTGTTTGTAAAATCAAACTTTTAATATTAACATTTAGACCTTTCGAAAAATATTTTCCTTTTTTAATATTATTAACTAAAAACTCTTCTAGTAAGGTATTATAAATAAATTATAATAAGATTTTTTTTTTAATTACACAATTATAGGGAAAAAATTATTTAAATCACTAAACTTAAGATTTCGCAATAGAACATTTTCCTAAAAATATAAAATCCATCATATCAAACAATTTTTAAAACAAATGACTTTCTAACTCATATATTTTTTTATAAAAAGTTGGTTTTCAAAACTATTATTTTAACAATAAACAGAATAACAAGCATTATACTTGAAAAATTATTTTTTTAAAACCTTACAATTGCAATCGACCGTGCTTTAAAACAAATATGCTTGTAAAGTATTGCCCCATTCCTAGCGTGTGAAGGATTTTTAAAAATGCATGTGATGAATTTCAGGAATATATTGTGAATTGCATTTTTTAAAAATATAATTTATTATTATTTATTGATATTATTTTTTTTCTTATTAATTTTAGGGAAATTTAAAAGTAAGATAAGCAGGTTTAACAATTCTTTTTCTTTTGCAAAATCACTATTGAGATTTCAAGGAGAAATAAAATGCTACAAATTCGCCAAATAAGTTAAGTTATCCAGTAAAAAATAGAATATAGTATCCAGTAAAAATATGAAAATAGTTATGTCTTAACAAAGTAATGGTGGAAAAAAATAAGAGATAATTAAAACAGGAGATAAGAGAACAATAGGAAAATTCTGAAGGCTTTTTTTCCCCCGCTAAACTACGTTAACAAAGCATTTGATTCAGCAGTAGGATATGCATTGTAAACGTACAGAAATTGCTCAAAAAATGAAATTAACTATTTTATTGATTTGCTTCTATTTCCTTATTACACATCTGCTATTCTTATTTATATCCTATATTGTAAAAACAAGAATTCTTTTAACAACGTCATGTTTGCAAATGCAAAAACTCAGAACGGAAATTATAATGAACAGTTAGAAAAAAGTGCCAATTTATGGTGATGCACACAAAAAAAAGTTTTTTTCAACAAGAATTTACTTTTTAAAAGAAAAACTCTTTCAAGCGAATTGCTTTCAAAACTCGTACTTAGCAAGACAATGAATAAAAAGATAAAAACATTTTCATATATTTAAACATAATTTTTTTTAAAACACAGATTTTCAACTTCGAATTAAGACAATTTTCAATTTAACGATAATGAAAAAAATAAAATATGGGGTTTAGTTCCAACTTGAATTTTCATTGCTCTACGTCTACATAAAAAACACTGCATACTGCAATTTCTTTAAACAACTGTATAATTTTTTTCATTAAAATATTTAATGTTTAGCAGTCTACGCAAGCGTGGCATCACTTCAATAAGCTTTGGGCAAAAAAATAAAAATATTTTGGTAATATTAGTAATTTTTAATTAAATATATCACATCTTTTATTTAAGAGATTAATGTTGAAACTATATTAAATTATCAAAATCATCTTAAAATTCATATTTTTAAAGTAAATAAACGATTTGAATTGTTTTAACTTACCGCCTTAAGTACCATTTGACAGATGTCCAATCCACATCTAAGTACTCCTGTACAGCTAATTGCAATTCTTCTGTTTTACGTTGCATAGTCAAACCAAGTATTCAAATTGAATAATAAAAATGAAGATTTGTTTATGCACTGAGTAAAAAGATTAAATGATGGCAGAGGACAACAACACGAGAACGATATTAAGTCGTAGATATTTTCCATTCATCTTAAAATCGTCCTTGGATGAAAACAATGGGAAGTGTCAGACAACGAAACCGCGTAATTCTCCGATATCCTGCTATAAAATTCTTATAGTTCTCTGAATGGACTTAAGACTCTTAGAATATCAGTGAAAATTAATTTGTTTATAGAGAAATATATTACTCTCGTTAATTAAATAATTAATTACTAAGCGAAAAGTTACAGATGAAATCATTAAGGGGAAAAAAACAATTTAAGACTTACGATTTACGTCTCTCATTCAACAATGAAAATTATTTCAACTTATGATCTTGAACTAATATTTTGATATCAGTTATTTTAATTAAACTTATAATCCAAAAGATTTTCATCATTTCTAATTTTTTAAATGAATAAGGGGAAATTTTTGTAATGAAGCGTTTTCAAAATATCGTTTGCAAAATATTTTAAGGTTAATTTTTAAAAATTGTTTGAATTTTCTTTTTTTTTTTATTTAATTGGTAAAAAAATCGTCAACGAGATAAAAACTTATTGTCTTCTAATTTAGAATAAAAAAATTATGTAAAGAAAAAAAACTATTCACAATGCGTAAGGACAGTAGGTAGAGTAATTAGCGGATAATTAACTTAAAAATGAATTGTTAAGATCATTAGAAAATAACTAAGAAAAAAATCGGAATGAAAACAAAAAAGAAAAATTGTCGAAAAACCTTCACAACTGCGAGCAAGAAGTTCGGTGTCTCGACCGCGAATGAGTCAAGAACTGCTCGCTACCTTGGGGTGTGTTTCACCGATCAGAGGTACCGGAACGATAAATCGAGGCGAAGGTGACTTCTCTTGAGGAGGCGGTAGAAAAAAAAATCGTAAGAAAAGGAAACAGGTTTCTCTGCTTCCCGATTTTTTTACGGATGTGTTTTCTCGGTCAAAGACTAATTAAAATGGAAATTTCTCTTGTGAAATGTAATCGAGAGTAAGTGAATTTGTTATCTTGATCGGAGGTATGCGTGTATGCGTCATATGTGCTTGCTATAACTATAACTTCTTTAAAAACCTTGCAAAAATAAATAAACTTGACGAAGAAAAAACTAAAAATAGTTTAAATTATCTACACGTGTTGGTCTATGCTTCTGTACCTTTGGTTAAAATTAATTAAAAGTTAGACTCGGAAATCGCAATTTTAATTAGTGCCCCCACCAAAAAAACAGTGTTATTAAAAAAAAGTGGATTTAATTGTTAAATCTTTCTACATTTATTAATGCAATAAAAATGAAGAATGTATAAAGATTAAACTTTTGGAAATATTTAGCACTGATATAGACAAGACAACACATAAAGATAAAAAAAATACTGAAATGTACGATAATGTAAAAGCAACACGGTTGCCACGATCTGAGTAAAATTGTGAAAAATATAGATATTTTAAATCATTCACATCTACCAAATTAATTTTTTCAATTTAAAAGAATTAAATAAGGGTATCTTATTAATTATCTCTCTTATTATCTTCGGCTTAGGGTTTAGGTCATTCAAGTCTTAGGAAGAATTTTGTAACTGTGAAGAGGAAGTTAAATTTAAACCTTTTTGCAGTGGCTTTGAGAAAACGAAGCTGTAACTTCTTTGATTTCGCTCAATTCGTGGCAAACGAGTATATTATTTTAACTTTTCATCACCGATCTTGTCTAATAACGTTTAAAAAATTTGAACTGTAAGATGTGCACATTTTTACGTCATTTAATACTAAGTATTTTTAATTGATGAATTACGAAATATGAACGAAATCAAAATTTTCATTTCTCAAAAATTATTCAACCGATTTTCAACTTCAACCGATGACAATTGGGCTTTTCATAAAATTTTGGCTTTTTTAATGCTCCCTCCCCAAACAACAGCAACATAATTGAATAGTCTTTATACTGAAAACAGCACTTATGTTGACTGATGGAAGTTTTTATGATATTTATAATATAAAATAAAATTACGATTATTAATCATTTTAAAAAAAAGACATATTTTATAGTTTCATTTTTCTATTCAATGCAATAAATATAATATAAAAATAACAGACGATTCTCATTAATTACATAACACAATGTTTTTGAACCTATGCCACACTAACTTTGAAACTAGGGTTAGATTTCAGTATTTAAAATAGGTATACAACGATTATTACATTATATTTTATACATATCTCAAGGAAATGTACGCATTTTTCTAGTTTGCAATGCAAAGTTATCGAATCAAAGTTATCAAAGTTAATGAATACAGAGGCATTTATAAATTAGTGATTCAATTAAAATTGCACTTACATTGTTGCACTTACATTTTTTAATTTGTTTTTTATTTCGATTATTACTATTAAAATAAAATGGATTTCCCCGGCTCACCATAGCCACCGACCTCTCACCCGGTAAGATTACAAAAAACATTTGAAAATAATACTCTAATATAGAATATGTTTAATTTAGCTGCAAATTTACTTAAAATAAATATTCAGATATTTTGATTATTCTATATTAGAATTAACATTTTCATATGTTTTTTTATGAGCGAACGAAAAACTTTATCGTGAAAAAAATAATAGATGTCTTTAAAATGGAAAGGAAAGTACAATGAATGAATCGTTTTTTCTCCAATTAAAAAACGGATTTCCTTTCAGGAATATATTGCCTTGTTCTAAATCAGATTGTCATTTGTTTCAAAACTTACGCAACTCACTTTTCAACATAAAAAATGCGTTCGTAATATTTAAGGCGTATTATTTGATACAGTTTAACATCTTTTCAATAAAATTATTTTGGAATTTTTAATCTACTAACCCAATTTGAAAATCCTGTTAAACTTATTAAACGGTCCGAAGGGCTTGGGTCCTTCGGACCTCCGGAAGTGCAGGGGATGATGTTTTAAGCAGTGGCCATGAAAAGTGGCTAGCCACCTGCTGTGACCAAACTTCTTATTAAATTAATGTTTGCAATCTCATTAAATCTGTTTTTTTTTTTTAAACAACATGTGTAAAAATAAGGTAAAACAATATTAATATAGCAATGCATTCAGCCAGTGTTAAACAATTAAAACATAGGGGAAAATTAAGTAATACCTACTTTCTATGCTTGATTTTCATATCCTGATATGTAAATAACTTTTGTTCAGTTAATTCCTGGAAGACGAAATAAACTTATTTAATTCTTAACAAATAAATAAAAAGATACAGATCATAGAAACATTTAAATACTTTTTTTTTAAAAATTGAATTGTAACTAATTAAAATAATTTTCTGGAAGACAGAAATGATAATAATGCTTTTTCTTCAGAGATATTTGCTTTTTATTGCGTTTAGAAATATATTCGTGAAAGCTTTTTCCTCCAACATATATCAATAATGAAACTTTATTTTAATTTTACAAATTAGTTTCAATTTTAATTCTTCAATTCACAATTGTCTAATGAAAACGCTTTAATTGGATGTCTGCAAGTGACATCATTGAAGATAAATCATAGCATTCGTCGATTCAGAAGCCAATCAGGTTCGACCCACACGCGTGACGTCACTTGCAGATACCCAATTAAATCTGATTTAAATCACATGGTTAGACATAATCACTTCATTTCTTCGCGAGTTCCCAATTATGTAATACGTTATTTGATTTAAATTTTAGCTAATAAGGATATATTTTTTTTCTCCCCAATGCCTGTCTGTGTTAACATCCGTCAATTCAGGCATCTACAGGGCGATTTTGCTGACCTCTCTTCAGGGGCACCATATTAGGTGGGCCAATGTCGCTCCCACAGAAAGGACAGATAGTACAGAGAAGGAAAGAACATTTCAAATTCCGGGATTCAAACCCAGAACCTTTCTGATGCAAGGACAGTTCCCTGTCCCCTACACAGGCCGGTCGGCACTTATAAGGATATAACTCTCAAATAAAAAGAATAATTAAATTCACAAAAATGTAGACATTAATAAAAAAATTTCAGTGATGAAAAAAAAAATTAATAAATTATGTTAATATTTCTATCTTCAATTTATCCAACTTCTTTAAATGCGTGTAAACGTGCAAAACAGCGTAAAGGTAAAATAACTTCTTATAATGAGATTTCCATTTAAAAAAATGCTGTATCAATAAATAATCATGTAATTTCATAATTATCAAACATTTCAGATACTAACAAATTGACACAAGAAAAACATATCCTGAATGAATAGTAAAAAAAGAGCAACTTAGTATTACACTTTTTTTTTACATCGCTGAACTCAGAAAATAACATGCATTTGAATGAGAAAAATAAAACCTGATACTTAAAGGTACAATAAAAAGTTTTAAAAAAAATCGTGAAGTTAGTTTACAGATCCTTTCCTTTAATTTTCACAAAACGCGGAATTAAAAGGAAACGCCATAGGTACTTTCTCAGAATAGAAAAAAATTTAAGAAAAGCATAGAATATAACACATCTTCCTCGAAAACGTAAGTTGTATCTAAACAGCTTTTCCTTTCATAGCTATTAACAGAACTTGGAACACTTTTCCGTAATAAGGATATGATACATATCTCATACAAAACAAAATAATTTAAAAATAAATACTGTTAGCGATGTGCTAATTCAAAAATTAAGAAGAAAAAATAATAGCTCTCAGTGAAGACTTCGTCTGAATGCTGATGAAACAAAAGAAAACAAAAACTTAAAAATGAAAATAAAAAGCTTAATTTTAATGTTGTACAAATGAAATTAATATAATGATCTCAAAATAAGTGCTTAAAAGTGCTTTCTGTAGAAAAACAAAAAAAAATTTGCAAGTTTGTAACTCCAACTTCATCTTAAAATCAATTTCAAAAAATAAATTGTTGCACAATTTCATTTTCGTAAATATATAATCGATTTAAGACTTTGTTATTAATAAAGTAAATAATTCAATAACTGATTAGATAGTTTGTACAGTTTTGATTAACTCTTTCAGAATTAAACAAAGTTATTTAATTAACTGACATTTTTCATTTGTCCAAAAAATATGCTTCATAGAATTGCGTAATATCTTATTTTAGATGTATGTTAAGATAGAAAAATTAGATGGATATGCTAATGAAGGAAGCCTGATAAAGTATTTTAAACCAAATTTCGTCCCTGGTTGGTATAGAGCCCCTGTATCTAAAGTTATGACAAAAGTTACAAAATTGTCTGAAATGAAGGTTGCGAAAGAGAAAGAGGAGAGGTTAGTACATTCGACAAAATCTCTTTGACTTCGTGACGATCTTAGTGAAATGCNCCCCCCCCCCCTCATGTTTAGCTATGAAACACGAAAATTATTACAAAGACTAAATTATTAATAAGCTGATTTGGTTTCGTTTCCGTTTGAAATATTATTTTCTTTTCAGTCCGTTTGTAAAAATTTCGGCTATAGCTAATTTTTTAAAGGAAAAAAATATATTTTGTCAAAAAATTTACTGTTTATTTGGCATATAATAACTTACATAACTTCATAAAAGTACCGAATAGAGCTATCGTAATTTTTTAAATCTAATTATAATGTTAAACAATTATTTAGTGCGTAATAGATAATTTGAACAGATGAGATAAATTTTAAAAGCAAGAAAAATGAATATCTGCTTATAATTTTTTAGATCCTGCTGGATAAAAATACCTTGTCGATGACTCCATGTTAAATCTATGGAGAAAGGGTTTTGCTTCATTTCACAACTTTTCGACATTCCACCAATCAGCGAATATTACCCATATGTCTTAGCTCTCTAACTATTGTAGGAACTCCAGTCTAGGAAATGTGACATCGGTAAAATTGTCGTACGTCATTTATTATTTTTTTTTGCTTATATTATAATTATTTCATTAAATTCATAATTATCGACTTTATCATTATTACCATCGATTTAAACTCCGATAACTAAAATGGTAAAATCAAGAAATAAATTAATCAGTTCGCAAATGTTTAGCAAGTCAAAGAAATATTCTTTTGTTTTGTCTGAAATATTTTACAAATAGTTTTAAAATAAATAAAAATTACTTATGCATAGATTACTAATGCAAAAATTTATTTATTGAAGCATAGAACAAAAAATATATACACTTAGTAGTTTGCAGCTATTATAGTTCTTTAATTAGCTTCTTAACTGCAAAAAATTCAATTTAGACTTACTAAAAGTTTAGCTCCATCAATATGTCGAATTTCAAAAGACGGAATGCATTCATCCAAGTTTACCTAAAACAAAAAACTTAACAATGAATCTATAAAAATTAATAAATAAATGAAACAAAATTTAGAAAATCATTTGAGAGAAGTATCAAGCGAACACACAAAGATGCCTAATTGTTATTTCTACCATTGACTCTTTTTTAGTCTTCTTTGATTGTACTAATACTGAAGCTAAAGGGAGTATTTTTATTTTAAATTATATTATTATACATAGAGATTACGCTGAAAAGTTGCATTTAAAAATAATACATTTTGTAAATATTGGTTATAATTCACTAGATTTCTTTTATTTAACTAGGAGGATAATTGGTTCTCATTCATCATTGTTTATTTCTTCTAAAACGTCAATAATTTCCACAAAAACACAAAACATTTTGGTTTCGAAATATACGATTATTTTAGTTTATGTAAAAACATTTTGTTAGTCATAACGAACTAAGACAATTACCTATATTTGAAGAGTAATCATCAGTATTTAGAAGGGGGGGGGAATAACCAAGGGAATATGGGTTGTGAGATTCAATAAGAAGAAATAAATGAAAAGTAATTTCCCTCGTGAAGAGACTTATAACAATTCAAATTGAGGACGGTTTTTATCGCTATTTATTAAGTTTGTTTTATTTTCAAAAATACTTTGAATATTAAAATGCATAGTTGAAAACATGTTTTTTTTTCTCTCTCTCCCTCTCTCTTTCTCTCTAACAACATTTGATTGACATCTACTTGAGAGAGAGTATTTAAAATAAAGATCTCGAGAGAGAAAAACAAATTTTCCTCAACAAAGGATAAATAGTCAATATTTAAAGCAAAAAAGCTCTTAGAACAAATAGGAATTTTGAAAGAAAAAAAAACTCTCATTAAAATTAAAATACAAAATAGTCAACACACAAAAGCAATTTCAAGTTTCTAACTCTTATAGCTTTGCACAGAAAAACAAAATATAGCATAACTTGAACACCCAAAACAACGATGGTGCTTACGATTTTGTCAATATAGAGAGGTAATTCATATTTTTATATGCTAAGAAAATTTGTTCAACAATAATCAATAATAAACTGTTTGGAAAGCATCATACTGTTACAATATTGCCGCATGTTGATATGTACTAATATATATATATTAATTATTTTTGAACTTGATGTCACGATTGTATATTAATACAATGGTTCAAATTATAAATACTGATTAGGATAATAGGAAACTTGAATGATCTTGTTCATCTAAGTACCAATGTAGCATCCACAATAAAATAATAAATTTTTTGAGAGCTCTCAAGAAATTAATATGGTGTTAATTGAAACAATTAATAAGTAAATTATTATTTAAAAACATATTTGGTATTAAATAATTTAAAAAAGTATTATAATAAAAAATTATTATAAATGAATCATTAGTATTAACTAGTGCTCCTGCTACGGAACTCTAGTATTGACTATTCTACTATCTAAAACTATTTTGGCAAAATCATAATCTGTCTATACTACAGCTAACTCTTCTTAATTTGAACTCAATATAAAAAAAAATTTAAATAAATAAAATCATGATTTTATTCTTTGTGTTTACAGCTAGGTGAAAAAGTATTAAGCAATATCCCATATTCTTTATCTACATCACTTTTCTCTTGCACATCACTAGTCCCAGTTACTTTTCTAAGGTGAAATCCTATTCTCTATTTTAAATTTCGCATTTTGAAATAAATTGTAATGCAGGTTTAAAAATTTATTTTATAATTATTAAATTTATGATTATTCAGAGCATATTACTTTTTAGAAAAAGTTTCAATCTAGCCGTAATAGAAATACAAGGCTAAGAACAGAAAGGTTTGGAAAAACATTGTCTAACTATAACTAAAGTATCAAGTTTACTATAGTTTTATACATGCTGGTACAGCTAACACGTTTCGGAGTTAGAAGCAGAGCTAGCATCTGAAAGCACTTTTCTATTATTTTATAGAAAATAACAAGACAATGTCCCATAAAAGAAGAAAAAACAATTATTGCAACTATACTGGTTGACTTGTCTAGATAGTAAAGGCAGTTGGTGCACAATGCTGATCACATTACTATCCTCAGATAAATACTCTTTACAAAATTGGCTCCCAATGGGCTGTTGTGGGAATGTTTTACTTTTTCTGCTGTTTGGAGGAATGCTGTATGGTATAATAACTATGTTTAGATTGATCACTAATAATAAGTCTGAATTAAATACAGAAAATTAAAGACTCTAAATAAAGCAAAAAAAATTTTAGGCTATTAAGCCATTAAGAGTAAATACCATCCATACTAATTAAAATTTGCTTCATCTTTTTATTTATTGTCTTCCTTTAAACTACTTTTCTTTCATATGTTTCTTTAAAAAAAATTTTACTTTAGATATCAAGAAAATTTTCTGATTGTCACAACACTAGATTCTGAATCAACTAAAAAAGTATGAAAAAAAATTTCACATTATTAAAGAAACTTTAACAGTGTGGGTGATAAGAAAAATCGAGAGAAAGGGAATTATCATTAGTTAAAATAATCGATTATGAATTATTAAAAAGAAACTATTATATTAAAAAGAATCCCCTACTTAGTTAATTGTTGCTAGTTATTTATTTTAGTTTGATATATTCCAGGCATGCACTCGGTTAGTTCCAGACATACATAAGTATAATTAGGTAAACGCCAAAATGAGTCTGGTTCTCTCTAAAATTTTGTTTGATATTCCTAGAGATTTTCATTTACAATTATTTCAGATATAAATAACTAACAGGAAGAAAAAATGATGGGTATGTAAATAATACATTTGTGACTGACTGAGATGGCATTGCCCACCATATAAAAAAAATTCAGTTATGCTAATGTCAAGCAATTGTGCATAAAATCCTATTACAGGATTCCCACTTCTTTTATCAAATCAAAAATAATTAAGAACTTTTAAGGATTTAATTTGAAAAAAATAAGGATCTTATAAGTAGTATAACAATTGCTTATTATATCTCCTAGAAATTATCATTTACAATTATTTCAGAAATAAATAACTAACAGAAAAAAAAATGATGGATGTGTAAATAATATATTTGTGACCGACTGAGATGCCATTGACCACCCTATAAAATTTTATAGTTATGCTAATGTCATGTTATGTAATATTATGCAATTGTGCATAAAATCCTATTACAGGATTCCCACTTTTTTTTATCAAATCAAATATTAAGACTAGGACTGGGCTATAAATCGATATATCGCGACATATCGATTTAACGCCTATATCGGCAAACCGATACAGCAACTTTCATTCCAAGCGATACATCAGATCTGATTTAAGCCGTCGAGTGAAGAAGACGATATAACGATATAGCGATATAGTGATNTATATCGCGATGCAAAACTGACGATATATCACGATATATAATTTCTAATATCGCCCAGTCCTAATTAAGACCCTATAAAATTTTACAGTTATGCTAATGTCATGTTATGTAATATTATGCAATTGTGCATAAAATCCTATTACAGGATTCCCACTTTTTTTATCAAATCAAATATTAAGAACTTCTAAGGATTTAATTTGAAAAAATTAAGGACCTTAAAAGTAGTATAACAATTATTTATCATACTATTCCATTTGTTTGACCTTCCCAGAAGTTATCATTTACAATTATTTCAGATATAACAGAAAAAAAATTATGGATATGTAAGTAATATATTTGTGACTGACAAAGACGCCATTGCCTAGCCTATAAAATTTTTATAGCTACGCTAATGTCAAGCAATTGTGCATAAAATTCTGTAACAATATTCTGACTTTTTTATCAAATCAAAAATTAATAACTTTTAAGGATTGAAAAAAAATTATAACTTTTAAGGATTGAAAAAAAATTATAACTTTTAAGGATTGAAAAAATTAAGGATCTTAAAAGTAGTATAGCAATTGTTTATATACTATTTCATATGTTTTCATACATGTACCATAGTGATAGCACCAATTATTATTTACCTTTAAAAAGAAAATCACTATGTTGCAAGTATTGACATAATTGTATTTATTACAGAATTGTTTACTTTTTAGTAGATTTAGGAATTTTAAAAAATGTTATGGCTTTTAAAAATTTACAATTATTTATTATACATAATATGATACACATTTATTTAATTCTTCATGTTATGGACCAGAGTTTTAAAAAAAATTTCTGTTTTGACTTCAAAATGTGAAAAAGATGAAAAAATGTTCATATTGCTTAAAATGTTCTATCCTCAATGCAGGGTCTCATTCTAGGCAAAAGATAAGATACACAGACTTTTTATTTTAAATGTTTTTATAAGAATAAAAAATGTTCCAATCAACTAGTGACTCTGGTAATTAAAGACTTTCAAAAACCTTAAACTAAAATTAAGTATTTTTAAGGGCCCTTAATTTTCAAAATAAAAATTAAGTAGTTTTTAAGGACAGTGAGAACCCTATGTAAACTATACACTCTTCTATAAAATTAATGCAGACACATTTGCTCAGAAATTTCCTTTACTCATAAAAAAAAGTTATATTTTTTGGTCTCTTGATTGAGATTGGGCTCCTTAAAGTATGATGCGCTATAATGTTGTAGGCTTTTTTATTGTCTAAGTACTAAAACAGTTTTAAGTGCGCCGAGTCTGTATATTCAATATTAATCATGATGTGTAACTTATATTTGCGCAAAATCAAAAACATAATGTTATAATTAACAATTACATGTAAAATGTTGAATTTCATGAGTTTCTTTAAATTTTGAAACAAGCTAAGTGTTAAAAGAATGCAGTGTCCCCCCGAAGTTACTGAGTATTGCCTTAAAATGTCTTCAACCATTCATTTTTTAACAAACAAACAAAAAACACTTAAAAATTCATTATTTATCTTCTAACAGATTTAATAAAATTTAAAATACATTGGCTCTTAATGAATCCTATGCTACAACTCATAAGCAACAGTTAACATAACAATGTAATTATAGAAAAACCATGTACACAAATTATGCTATGTTTGTACTTCGAAAGCCAATGGAAAGTTTCAGAACTTATTTTATATATCTATTAGAAAAAAATAATATAAGCATATTTCAACAGCTTCTAATATCTCTATGTTGGATGATAATTAGCAGAAAATTATTTAAAAAAATACTGAAAGTAGTAACCCCATAACTTGATACATACTTCCAAATTTTATATATTGGTATAGTTATTCAGTTGGTTAAAATCTACTTTTCAATAGATTAAAAAACTTGAAATTTTCATAAGAACAATTAAAAATAATGATACATAATCAATTAAATTATAAATACATAATTAATTGGTATTTTTTATAGATGTCAGTCAATATTAATATGGCAATCAACACATTTAATAAATTATATAGCATGCATTTGAGATGCTTTTAAATCTTACTTTTTTAAGCCATTTTATAACTTTTTCTTCCTTCCAAGAAGCCACAAATGAATGGTGAGGGAGGCTTATTTTCGAAGACATTGTAATATAACAAATCACTTACGTGACATTAAAAATACTGTCACCAAATTCATTAAAGGTGATATCAGGAAACAAGAAAATAAAACAATATCACAAGGAACGAGAAAATATCGTCATGAAAGATGTTTGAAAATTCAATAAGGATGAAAAGATTAAAAAGCTAAAAATTAATGCTGTCAAAACCATAAGTTAAAAAAGTCATGCTTTTCTGTTGATCCTTTGATCAGTTTTGACGGGGAAAATTAAAAACAAATGGGAGTGTCCGATTACGCACACTTCCGCCACATGTACCGATACTTCCGGAAAAACAGACCTGGCAAAACTGGTCGATAAATTGAAATTTTTAACAAATTTAGTAAATATTCAAAAACATATCAAAATATTGTTTTATAACGTTTTTAAAAATTAACATCTTATGTTAAGTAAATATAAGCAAGTGATTTTCAACTGTATAAATATTAATAGCATAATAATAATTTAAAACAGCAATTCGAATGTCCTATTTTATTTTTAAAGATTTAAGAGTAAATTAATAAAGAACATTAAGGCAATAAATTAATTTATTAGAAGTGAAAAAAAATTCGAATCATGGAGATTTTTAAATTTGAATGATCCATTAGTTTCTCCAGGTAACCAAACAACATGGAGTCGCTGAAGAACGAAAATTTATCAACATTAGATGTTCCATGTGTTTCAGAAAGTAAACAGACAGTAATGACTGACGATGAAAGATTAGCCCGTGTAGCTGAAGCTTTAGCAGACTCAACAAATTTAGAACCAAAATCTAATAAAATCCAGATGTCAATAAGTGATGAAGTATTCGTCTCGTCCAGCAAAATAGAACCAGAAATTCCTAAACGTTTGTAATATTTCATCAAACCTATATACTATATTAATCTCTGTATATCGGTGTACCATTATTCTGTTTTTAGTGAGAAATATTAGTTTGCTGTTGAACAATATTTAACGAAATAAATGAGTAACGAAGGATTTTAAGTTTTCCTTATCGTTGTCTATTTCTTAGATATCTTCATAGCCTGTTAAACTCTTGTTATGATAGTGATATGATCCGAATTTTAATACTCATGCAATTTCATCAAAATGGTATGAATAAAATCGGGAATGTGCAACCTGTGACTGTCGAGCTGAAAGTGGCCCCTGAAGACCTAAACAAGGCATTGGAACTGTCCTAATTATTAATAAAAATTTGAATGATAGAAAAGTAACAGAATTTCTTTAACAGCAACCAATTCCAATCATAACCATCACAATTACTAGATACGTAACAAATGATGTTTTTGGAATAATGATAAAAGTTAACTTTTCCCTGAATGAAAATTTTAAATTTCCCCCTTTCCTTCTATATGCTTATAAATTCATTGTAATTTTGGAGGCTACTATTACTTATCTTATAATTAGATACAAATAAAAAACGTTTATTTACGTTTTTTACTCTATTTATTATAATTTCAATAATGTCCCACAATGGACTGATCATACGACACGGTTCCTCGTAAATCACCAAAGTCGAGCAACACTGTCTGGGGAGATTTCCGTATCGTGATCTGTGGCAGCACAAGACTTGGCAAATTCCGGGCAGCAGCCGAGAAACTAAAGAAAACATCACAAAATGGGATCAACTGAAATGGAATAATTCATAGCCATCTATAACTCGTAAACATCTATATGTTTTTGTTTTTTTTAAAAATTTGCAAGTTTAATATCTATTAGGCAGTTGTAGTTGGCGCAACAGATCACAATACGGAAATATCCCCAACGGTTAGTAAGCGTATGAGCAACCACTTTGATCAGCCTGTGAAGGGACCAAGGGTATGCATTATCAGTTCGTTTTTAGAAAATTATAGTTAAATGCTAAACTTCGCAGATCACTCAGTGGCCTACATAGACTTAAATGTTCTCTCCTGTAAATTTTAAAAATCCATCCTATGATAGACTCTCCCCAAGGAAAAATTTATTAAAAACGCTATGATGTTAGAGATATTGGGATCACCATAATCATTACTTTTATTTTAATTTCAGATAATGAAAATGATAACCGTTATGAAAAGGTACTTAATTGTATCCACTAACTATATTGAAATTAAAATAACTAATTATCTTACATTAATTATATTCAAAGTTTAGTTAAGGGTTAATACTATGTATAAAATGAATTGTGTTGTTGTTCATTTACGTCGCACTAGAGCTACACAATGGGCTATTGGCGACGGTCTGGGAAGCGTCCCTGAGGATGATCCAAAGACATGCCATCACAATTTTGATCCTCTGCAGAGGATGAATTGGAAGTAAATAAAGTATATTTTATGAGTTATAAAAAAAAAACATTTTAACTGTAGCTGTTAGTGTTGTTTTTCTAAACTTTGCACCTTCAAAGGTTATATGTCCCCTTCACAACGGAGATTGCAGAGGTGTTGTTTACGCCACTGCAGTCAGGTCGTCAGGCAATTGTTATGGCTTAACTTTGGATCATCCTTAAGGATGTTTCCCAGCCCATCGCCAATTGTGCAGCTCTAGTGTAACGCAAATAAACTGCTACTGTTAATAATAATTCTTATAAAATGTAAATCCATAACTGATAGAATTTTAACCATTTTGAATAAGCTTCTACAATATATTACTATAAAAAGATTCTAATATCTTTTAACTTTTTTTTTTGTTTGTGTTTTAACTGGTAATATAATTGCAATTTGATATTCTGCAAAACATACTGATTGTAAATGTTATCAAACTTAGATGTCAAAATATCAGAGGAAAAGAAGTTTATTGAAAAAAGCTCTCTAACAAATTTGGTTACAAAATCATCTGGTGTAGAAGAAATTAATTCTGGTCCTGAAAAGAAGAAAGAAAAGGAAAAAGCAAGTAAGTTAAGTTTTAAAATAGGAAGTTAATATTTTATTTTAAAAAAATTTTATTGTTGTGTTTTAATTTTTAATGTTAATTTTTCTCTTTTGAACTCGAAATAAACTTAAGGAGTAGTGTTAATGAAAGTGCTTGAAAATGATAATGGCAGTTCCTAATTGAAGCCCCCCATAAATTTTAAAAATGGAAAATAGAAGAATTTTGATGAATAATGCCTACATTTCCTAACTAATAATTGGTTTTGCTATTTTTGAATGCATTCTTGGATAATAAATTAATAAAATTAGTTTTAGGAAAGTAATAAAAGTTTTTTGAAAATTGTTCTTTGCTTTCAATCAGTTGAATTAGTTTTTCTAACTCTTTTAAATAAATGATGAGAACACGATTTCAAGTTGTTGGATCTTAAAATTATATGAATACAAATCTTGGTGTTTGATTTTTAAATTGCATGAATGGAAATGGCTATATGTTATTTAAAAAATGTGTGAATATGAATTCTAATATTTGATTTCTAAACATGTGATTAGAAATCCCATTGTTTTATTTTTAATCTATGAATTTGAATCACAGTGTATAACTTTCAAATTGTGATATTTGATATTTTAAATCTTGTGCACACCCTGATTAATTTTTAAAAAAGTATCTGCAAAATGTAAGAATTTCTGTATGTGCATTTATATTATTTAATTCTGCAAAATAGAAATAAAATATTCAGTACATTCCTAATTTGTGTTTATAAATTTTTTCAGTAACTTTTTTATTCCTTTTTTTTCTTTTTCAGATTCATCAGTTTTTGATTATGTGTTTGGAGAATTGCGAAGAGGTTATCAATTAGAAAACGATGAGCAGCGGTTTACAGAAAGACGGGAAAAATTTTATGTATTTTTAAAAATACCAAAAGAAATTGAAAAGGTATCTTTTTTTTTAAATAACTTATGCTAATTATCTTTTATTTTTAAAAAATTTTATGTGTCTTAACTATGATTAATATTTCAGTTTATATTGTATGGATTCTTCCAATGTATAGATGCTTTTTTGTTCATATTTACTTTTCTGCCTCTTCGATCGCTGTTATCAGTTTGGTTTATTTTCTCTAGAACTTTGAAGTCCATAATAAGGTATTAAGATTATCTACTATATCAAATTTTGAAATAATCTTTAAAAAGTTTCTTTTTTTTTTATCTGTAAGCAAGTATTGTATACTTGTTTAAGGATAAATAGTTATGCGATCTTGATCATAAAATTTTATGTGTTTTGTTCATATTAACTGACAATTAAACTTTAAATTAATAATACTTTTAAATGTTTGGTTTTATTCTCTTGAATTTCAAAGTGATATTGTGACCCAAATATGAGAGGTCTGGAATACATGAAGTATTAACTAAAGAAAAAGATAAACATTTTAAACAGTTAAACTAATAAAGATAATTGTCAAACAGCTCTGTTAATAGTTCTGTTATAGATTTGATAAATTTCATTTTATTGTTACAATGGACCTTTCTCATTGCATATTATATTAAATTGTAATTATTAGTTCATACCCCAAAATCATAGGTTTGATGCATGTGCTTCACCTGAGTCTTAATATGAAACTTCTGTGTGGGGGTAGCATTTTAACTAGATAATAGTTTCATAGAATAAAAAATGTAAAAAATTATGTCATAATTTGTGCTAATTTTTGTGTTAAGTACACAATCCATTGTATTTAAAACCTTTTATTATTCCCAAGCTTTAGTGTTAAGTAATAAAAATGTCTATCTCTATTTTTTCTCTTTCAGCTTCCTTTTTGGGACTCATTACCGATATCAAAGTTTGCAACCAGCTGAAATTTGTGATCTGTTGAAGGTGATCATCTTAGGTTGTGTGAGCTTTGCCATGATGTATGTTGATACATCAATGTTGTATCATATTGTGAAAAGTCAATCTGTGATCAAATTATACATTATGTTTAATATGTTGGAGGTAAGCTTTATTATGAAAATTTTTCATTCTTAACTTTGTTTTTAAATTATAATTATACAATATAGCACCTAGTTTTAAATATGCTTGTTGGAGTAGACAAAAATTTCGTAAATAATGTGATGTGGCTATATCAGGAACATGAAAATTTCCACTAAAATTTAAATGCTTATTAATTTAATTATATTTTGTTAAATGCCTAAATATAATCTGAAACTTAAATTTAATTTATTTAGTAAAGAAAAGAAAACTTACATGGGCACATGATTTTTCCGCTAATTTCTAGGTGGTTAATTCATGGACTTCTACGAATAAAAAAATCAGGTTCCTACAAAAGTTAATTGTAATCAATAAAAGATAGTATAGCACCAGTTATGAGTGTGGATTTTGTTACACTTTCATTCCGATTTATAACAGAAGAATTATTGTATAAGTGTACTTTTATTTACCTCTTTTTTTTATTTGGCTATGATAAATTCGAATAAATCAAATAAAGTTCCGATAATTTTATTATGATATTACAACTTTTGAATTTTGAGTTGCGCCTTTAATTATTTACTTTTTGACATGATGATTTCAATGTTTTTGATAGTTCTTGCTGATGGTTTCCACATGGTTTTTGAAATTCTGATGTTTTTACAATAATGTTAATAGCTGCAACACACAAACTCAAATTGCTCATTTCAGTAATCACTTTTTTCTTAATGGGATTCTAAATGGGACAGAATGCAAAAAGAGAGAGAAGAAAAAAAAATTTATGTGAGAATATTGCTCATAATGTTAATATATATTTATATATGATAAGGAAAAAATATTTTTATGTATGAAACATTGTGTCTTTCTCGTTTTAAATTAGATGTTTATTTTTTATGTATAAAATAGTCAGCTATTTAATATTTAGTTGAACAAAAATAATCTTTTATGTATAAATTGAGAAAAATTGTTTTATTTTAAAACAAAACTATGTAACCATAAAGGTTCTAAAAATTTACAGAATTTCTTGTTCCGGCCATCATGTGTCTGCTTACATTATTTAAATGGGGGGGGGGATCTGAGGTGATTTTATGTGTGCCACTGCTTCAAATTACATAGAAATTATCGACTAACATTAGGTGAAAAGTGACTCCAATCGTCAGTATTTCAGGGAAATAGAATTGGAGAATACTCAAAATACCAAGATTTTCACACATGATTGATTTAGAAAAGGAGAAGTATCCAAGATGAAAATACACTTAAAGCAGGAAATCGTTATCAATCAGTGGGTGAAGTTAAATTTAAGTTCTACTGTATTTTTAATTTGAATAAACGTAATTATTTGTTTTAATTTGTGGTAGAAATCAATTTTTGCATTTGTATGAAGGTTAGTATTGAGGTTAGGAATTAATTTATTTAAAAAAGGTTTTAAAAAATTAAATCTTTTTTTGAAAAAGAAATCTTGGGTTTTTCTTTCAACAATTTTCTTTGTATGCTAAAATATAAATTTGCTTGCTAAAATATAAATTGCATCATTTATGTATTGTAATATAAGTGTTTTATTTTATAACCGGCGTTGAACAGCCAACCCATTTCTGAGCTTACAACTATCAATGTTCAATTCCATAGCCTTCTAATTTTGAACCTAACCCAGAAGACATGAATTCCTGGATCAAGCATTGGGAATAACTAGTCTTTGTGGAAGGCATTTTAATGGAATTCACCCACATTTGCATTGCAGGGAGAGAAAAATCATGCAAACCTCCCATGGTAAGCCCGACAGCAAGGGAATTCTGACCCATGGTCCGTGTACCACTGGGGACATTTTAGATGAGCATTGTGGTCGGTGCAAGCCAGGTGCAGAATTCATACCAACCAGCCATCGCTGGGATTTGAACCTGGATCACCTCATTGGAAGGGGAGAGCTCTATCCCCTGAGACACCAGGGCTCATGATTTGTTTTAAATAAACTAGATAAAACAGCATTTTATTCCAGTTTGAAAAAGTAGCAAAATATTATTGTTGATATAAATTCCATATTAGGTTCACAGCCCATTCAACACATTTGTTGTTAAAATTTATTTTTACCCTTTTTTTCTGAAAAAAAATGGGTTTCAAATTCAGATATTTTTCTAAAGTGCTATTCTTTAAACTTGTTATTAGGTAGCAGATAAGTTATTTTCTTCCTTTGGTCAAGATATTTTGGATGCTTTATACTGGACTGCAACAGAACCAAGAGGAAGAAAAAGAGAGCATATAGGTCTTTTGCCACATTTATGTTTGAGTCTTATTTATGTCTGTATCCTTTTTGTTTATGCTTTTTCTTTGATTATTATTATTATTTTATAAAGAAATGCTTAGGTTTTTCATAAGAAAATTTAAAATTTTGTCCTTTTATTGTCTGTTAATGTTTAATTATAATTCAAAGGAATCATAAAACTATGTTGCATTATAAAAGGAATTATACTGAGGACATTATCATAAAAAGATTTAAATTTGACAAAAAAATGCTATTGGATAGTTATTTAGAAATTACTTAATTTGCTTTAAATGTAATCTATTCTCTCTTTATATTTATGTTTTTATTCAAGGCAGTTTAAAATACTCTGTATCCCTTAAATTTTTGACAGGGGTGCATTAACTTTGCCTACATTATATATCAAAGTTTAAAAAAAATAGAATTTTTCTTGCAATGCGATTAAATTTGAAAGTGACATATATGGGTTGTTTTCATAAAATGCAGTTCAATTTTTAAGTTGTTGGTCTAAAAATAATTTTTTCTTCCCCATAGGGTGTTAGCTATTTCACATGATTTTTCCTTTTTAGTAAACACTTTCAAGTTAAAAAAAAATAAAATTATTAGCCCTTTTTTTTTTAGAAAAAATAGTATTTTAAAGATAAATAGTATAAGTATATAAAGATAATAGTAGTCTATAGAATAATTTATTAATAAAATATTAAAATTATTTTGATAATTATCTAATTAAAGATCTTTTATGTATTTAAATTCTTATTCTAAAAACAAGTATGCAGAATAAAACCTTCAGAAAAAATTCCTTATTAAAATCTCAAATATTTATTGAGTTCTTGGTTTATTAAGAATTAAGGTACATGTGTCAAAGAAAATAGATATTTTTCAAATATGTTGACAAACTTATCATTTTTTAAAACAACTCATTATATTTTACAAATTTTTACTTCCTGTTGCACTAAATTATAATTTTTTTATTTTTTTACTCATTGTAAAAAACTTTATTTACCAAGTTTTATCAAATTAATTTCAAGACTGCTTGCTCAATATTACAATGTATTCAATAAGGAATTTTCTTAACTTGTGAATAAGTTATTCATTCAATTATTGTCCTAATACAAGCTACAACTTTAAACGTTGCCATCAACTCACAAAACAAAGCTCTTTTAACTATCATGTTATCAAATAATGTAAGTATTTTATTAGATGCCTGTTTCTTTACTCAAGTGTTGATTATTTACTTTATTTGAAAAACAAAAAGCAGTTGAATTTATTTATTGTTATTTATATTTCAGTTTGTTGAGCTGAAAAGCATGGTTTTCAAAAAGTTTGAGAAAAACAATCTTTTCCAAATGTCTTGTAGTGATGTTAGAGAGAGATTTCATTATTTAGTTTTGTTATTTATTGTCATTATACAAACTATGAAAGAGTATAATTGGAATTATGGTAAGTTTCGGTCTATTCTTTGGTGAGAAACGATATGTTTTGTATTAATAATTAAGTCTTGCATCTTATGTTATGTAAATATGAATTGATATTGAGAACATTAAGTGAAGGAGCAAAATTGTATACTTTAATAGTATTCATATTGAATAAACCACTCTCAAATGCTTTATATTAGATAAATATACTTGCCTTGTGACTTCTCTCTTTTTTTTTTCTTGTGGAATATTTAATTGTTACTTTAAGTGCAAAATTAAATTATACTTCTAATGCAATATAGCTGATTTTATGATTAGTGTTTCTATTTAGCTACATTTCATTCAATTAAGCAGTAGAGGTGTTAAAGTAGCAAGTTAAGTAGTAGAGTAGACAAATTTAATTTTTACACCCCTTCGTAATATTATGTCTAACTAAAGAGCCCCTTTTTTTCTTTCTTTTTTTTAATAATTTTTAATTATTGACTAAGTAGAAACTGAATTCTCAAGTAAGTTTTTAGGTTTAGATAAAATAAGATGCTTTTTAATAAAACAAGTAATTAAGGTAATGATACTTAGGTAGAGGGGAAAGGTAGGAAAAACATGTTTAAGAAATTTGAATGCATATTAAAATGATTTTGTAAAAAATTTGAATTATAATTCTAAAAATATATTATTAGTTATTCAAAATTCAAAGAAAGTGCTCTGTGATACCTTGTAGACCAAAAAACCAATTTATATACATTTTCTAGACTATTGATTAAAGAATATTCTTCCCCTCTTATTAATGAAATATATTAAAATAATAGTTAGTATGTTTCCATTAACAAAATAGAGTTTTAAATTAATATAAAGTATGAGATGAAAAATATGCATTATATTCTGAAATTCGTTAATAGTTAAGTAAAATGAATTTGATGCCCCTTTAAATTTGCACTCAGAAATAAATGTTCCCTCTTGCCCAGATCTAGCTAAGTCACACTGTCTTGAATTCTTTTTAAATAACCTGTTTTTACTGCACAAGATAGACAGTTTAAAGCTTGAAAAGGTTTAAAATGTTGTATTTATTAAATACTAATTAGGCAAAGCATACTTTTTAAAATAATCCTAGTGAAATTATTTTCATTAGGCTGTGGCGCTATCAATAACTATGAAGCGAATTTCTACATTCATTTAATATAAATTTATGATATTTAAAGGGCTAAACTACAAATATATTTAAAATCTTAAACATTACTTTGAAATATGTAAAATAAATTTATAAATATAATCTAAAATTCTTTGTGCAATCTTTATTCGGCATGTTTAAAGAAGTGTTCAAACATTACATGTGCTTTTTATGCTAAGCATTAGATTAATGATGAGGCTAGAAGAAATTTATTTTAAATTCGTTAACTAGATATTTAGTTTTTATGTTTAATTGATAAATTAATAGTTTTTAATTGAACAAATATACAATGAGAGCTTAGAAACAATACAAAAAATATTATAGTCAGGGATTGAAATTAATTGTCCTCCTTTGATATAGGACCTCTAAAATTTAACTCAGACCACCATAAAATAATTAAAAATAATCATCATTAGTCTTCTAAACAAGCAACTGTTATAAAAGAATGATAGGCTGTTTTTGATCTGTGTTTTTATCCAAAAACACAGATGCACAGATGGCATGCTTCGACTAAATTTTCTACCCCTGATTAAAGTAATAAAACAGATTATTTTTGAAACCTTTACAGCAGAAAACAAAATGTGACTACATTAATTAAAAACAGATTTTGTTTATTTAAGTAATTAAAAAATCTGACTGTTCCACTTAACATTAAAATTTTTCATTTCAGTTTTTTTTTTATTATTATTATTATAACTAAGAATTCAAAGTTGTTTGATTAGTTAATCTGCTAATTGGGCATTATAAAAAATTTTCTTGCGTGAACATGATTTCAAAATAAACGCTTTTCTTTTACAGACCAATTTATGGTTCTTTTACCTTATTGTTTTGGTGTTGTTATTGCTGAAATGTTTGTTGATTGGACAAAGCATGCCTTTATCACCAGGTTTAATGAAATTACATTTGAAGTTAGTTATTTTTTTAATCTTATTTATTCTTCTTTGTATAAATATTTTTTGTTTCAACTATTTCCTCTTTCTTTTTCTTATGTACCTTTCTTTTTGCAGGTTTATCGTGATTATACTGTTAGCCTGGCTTACGATTTAGCTAGCTGCAAGTTAAAAAATGTAAGTTTTTTCTTTTTCATTTTTAATCTTTTAAGTTTATAAAAATATTTAAAATTTGTTTAGTACATTTAGTGTTCTTTTCTATAATTTATTGTTATTATTATATAGATAAAAATACCTTCAGCTTTCTTTAAAAGCATCCTTAACTTGAAACTCAAAAAATTTGAATAGATATGAATTTAAGAAGAAGAAAAAATATTCATTATAAATGAATCCAACTATGAAACTTTAAAAATTTAATATAGTAAACATAAATCAAAAGTGTCTTAATATTTCTTAAAATTTTGTATTAAATAATATTTTTGCCCTGCTTTATTATTAAAAATTAATCTTAAAGCAAAGCTTTTCTTAATCCAAATTTTGAATAATTTGAAATAAGACAATAATAACATGATCAAAATTATTGAATTAATCCAAATCCAAATTATTGAAAAATAAGTATTGTATTCTATCAAAAATAATACAACATATTGATTTGCATTCAATTGATTTCTAATTCATGGTTGTTTAATAAATTATTTTAATTTTCTAAAATCAAGGTAGAGTAAAAGTGAATTTTAGATGGCATAACTGAAACCCTTCCTTATATTTTAGTATTTCAGAATATAACGCAATAGTGAATGATGTCTGTAATTGATTTCTAATTCGCAATTGTTTAATAAATTGTTTTAATTCTCTAAAATCAAGGTAGAGTAAAAGTGAATTTTGGATGGCATAACTGAAACCCTTCCTTATATTTTAGTATTTCAGAATATAACACAATAGTGAATGATGTCTGTAATTTTGATCGTTGAACGTTTTATCATTTTCATATTTGGTCGAAACAAATTGTTCTAATTTGTTTAGTATGTTGTGTATTAATAATTGTACCCCCTACCTATGCTGTATATTGCTATGCAACAATGTGCTCACTGTATCATAAAGAGTCATGTTTAATGTTGTACAAAACTTTTTTCTTGCTGCATTAAACTTGAAACTGTTTTCCTTTTATAGGCATTTGCTGATCACTCTGATTTAATTTCTCGAAGAATGGGATTTATACCACTACCTCTTGGTGCATTAGTCTTACGGGTTGTAATTGGATCTATACCAATTGTTAGCATTTGGGGATTTTTCAATTCTTGCCTTGTATTTTTATGGTCAGTATTTTTTTGACATTATTTGAATTATCAATACAGGAAAACTTATGTTGCAGAAACGTGTTTAGCAAATTTAGAAAAATGTTCTTTTTTTTTTTTTAATTTCATTTGATTTGATGTCTTTTGTTGTTAGATTAAATAATTATTCTTTTTTTTTTGTTGCATAGTGTAGTTAATTTAATTTTTTTTAACCTATAAAAATATTAAACACTCCATTTATATATGTATATATTTATCAACTTTTATAAGTGTTAATCATCAGGCATGAGATTCAACCAAATTTTGGCAGAATTTCTGGCTTCTTAAACTTTAGAAGAAAATAAAAAAAGAAAATGCTATGTTAAAAATCTATTTTTTCTCAATATTTATGCATTATTTTGTTGTTTTACTTTATTATTTCATTCTCTTTATTCATCATTTATATATAATCCTTAACAGTTTTCAGAAACTGTGAATGTTAGTAAAAAGAAAGCTTTAAATAAGTATGTAAATAATTTAATGTTTTCTATTTTAGGTAAAATAGCCAAGTTTGAATTTTTATTGTTTGTAAAGTATTGTATATTTTTTCTTTATTTGAAGAAAAACCTAGAAAATGCAGGGGTTTCAAAATTAATGTAAAAAGAAAAAAAAAAACTCTAGAAGTACTCATGAAAAATTAAAAGCTCTGCTAAAAACCTTGAAAAGTTGACATTTTGGAACTTTTTTTTTTATAGAAATTTTCATTAATTAATTATTGTTTAGTTAAACCTCTTTTAAAAAATTTTATTTTCATTTGAAGTTATTTTCGTTGATGCAGCAATTATAAGTCTATAAAAAAAGCTTGTATTGATACTTAGTAAAAATTTATTTACCTCAATGTTTGGGTATTATTTTAAGTTGCAATTATTATTTTCATGAAGATTTTGATTTATACTTTGAATAAATTTAAAGGATTTTATTTTTTTCAGAGTTTTTAGTGATAAATGGAATTTTGTTTCAAATTTTTTTAAACTTGTTAAATTATTTAAACTCTAGAGTTTCATTTATAGATATATTAATTTATGGATAAATTTGTATTTAAAATAAAAAAATGTTTTATTTAAAATAAAAAAAATGTTTAAATTAAACTTATTTTTTTACAGCTTAATAAGTGCAAAAATAGCCATTAGTATTACTTTATTAGGAAAAGCGTGTGATGAAATTGAAATGCATCGAAATGCACAAAAAGAAAAACTTCCTCAACCTCGACAATGTAACAGTTTGCCATCTAGTCGCCACCACAGGTACTAACTACACCAATTTATTAGAAATTTAATCTTTTACTGTTCAACATAAACTTTATCTGCATAATTTTTTATTAACAATGTCATGTTTGTAAGATTTATTTTGATATTGATTCAAAATTTTATCTGATTTTAGATTTCATTCTGTGTAACCCAGTATGTTTATTATTTCTAAAGTTAACTTGTGTTTCTTGGAATAAATTATTTTCTATTTTTCACTCAATTAATGTCATTAATGTTATGAAATTTAAGTTTATTATCACTTTACTTTTTTTGTGTGCGCATATACAAATGTTTCCTAATTTTTTTAGTTTCTATTAATAGTTTTTTTTATTGAGAATATATATGTTTTTTCTTCCATTCTATTTCATAATTATGTATCAAATATTTATTAATATACAATGTTCTTATGAAATATTATAAATAGAAATTTGTTTATTATTTCCATTTTTGTATTAATCAATTGAAATAATGCTTTGATTGATTTATTAATTCCAATTGATCCAAGATCAATTGAAGAAGATTAACCCATGAGATTGGGTGATTTGTACTGGTTAAGATAATCATAAAATCTCTTGAAAAAGGAATAGAGTGGGAAAATTTTTGAATTCAAATGTACAATATTACAAATATATTTTGTATAACGGAAAAATTATTTATGTAGCATTCATACGTTTAGTTTTTCTTGCTACTTTAAGTTTTATCCACAATTGGAATGGCACAATGATTTAGCACATTTTATATGTTAACACATGTTAATAAATAATAATTAAACTTATAAACAGAACTGAATTTTCAAAAGATATATAAGACCTTACTTTATTTGCATGCACAGTTTTGTGCTTGTTGCTCCACAATGAGCATTTTTGTACAAAATTTTTTATCAATATTACAATCATGCTCCAATTCATTCTATATTCCAATTCAATCTAAAATATAAAAAAATTCCAATTTTTTTTTCTACGAAAAGTGTTATGACCTGGTTCCACAAATTTGCTTTAAATTTTTGTTGCAGCAATAATTAGATGGTTTTAGATTTTTATCACACTGTGTTAGAAGAAAAAATTTATAAATAGTATTCTATTTTTCGTATATTAGTAAGTTATTTATTTGTTATTAGCATATTAGTAAAGTAAAATTTTCAAACTAGATGTAAAAAGCTTTATTTAATTGCTCTGACACCATTAAAAGTAGCTTTTCCAGACTGACACTGTTGCCAAAGCGTGACCCACCAGGGCCAGGCATGTCTTCCCTTTCCTCTAAAATTTTAAATGATTTTACTCTTCTGAAATGTTTTTTTTTTTTTGAAAATTACAAAAAAAGTAAATAAAACCACATGATTTTTGTTAGTTAATGACATAAAAATGTCAATTTTTGTGACATTTAATGTAAGTATGTAACTCCAGTTTTTTTAGGGGTACTAATTGCACATCTAAGATTAATTTACAATGTAAAAATAATGATTTGATATCTCCACAAAAGTTTAAATAATCGTTAATGGCAGCGTTTTGGAGTAGTTAATAAGGGAACTGGTAAATTATACCTATTATTTTAAATAATTGACAATTCTTAGCTGCCAACTTTATTGAACTGACTATTGGATTTTGCCAGTTTCTCCTGGTCTACTAGTTAAATGCCTAAATTGAGTAAGTTTCCTAAAAAATTCCCCATTGAAACAGCATTTTTACACAATTAATTGCTTACTTTAATATTTAAATAAATATTACTAATATATAATGATGTTAGCCTCAATTACAGTAATCAGTTTAAAGCTTTTCTTCTTATTTTGTATATTTTTATTCAGAACTCCCTTTTTATATTAATTAAAAAAAGTCTCTTTAATTATCATTAATAAAATTATTGTTTATTACTGTTCAAAATTATGAGTTAGCATAATAAAAATCATTTCAAGTTCATTTCATAGCAGTTATAAATGTAAAATACAGACTGTTTATTTCATAAAGTTTTTGTATTTTGATCCCTAAAATTGCCTATATGTGAAATACTTAGTATATTCTGCAACAGCTATCATGAAATTAATATCATCTTATATAGTCTACTGGATTTTTTCCTATTGATGATTTGCAGCTGTGATATTTATTCTTTGAGAGCTTTATAGGACTTTAATTGCAACTTGGTCTGCACATCTACACTATTTATCAAAAATATTCCAAATTTAATCTTAGCCTATATCTATCCTATATTACTTTCACAGTCATTGACTAAATGACTGTAAATGACAGTGTACCAAATGACTGTTAATGACAATGACTGTCCTATATTATTTGCACTGACCATTGACCATTTTTTGATAATTGATTGCTACAATATTATCAAATGTCAAGTTTTCGTCATTTGGCTAATGATGATTGACTGTGAAATGATAAATTTTTGCCGTATAGATGAATATGTATTAATGTTTACAGCTACATACTTGGGTGTATATTGCTATCTAATTTATTGTCTTTCATTTCTATGATAATATGGAGTTTACTCTGCAAGAGGCTACTGTATTTAACTTAGTGTTATCAATATTACTGAAAGTCCTTACCACCTTTGATTACCAAGTCTAAGTATAGCTGTGTTCTGTTATCCTGTTATCTAAGAATTACTCAAAAATGCCAAAGGAGAATTAAAAACGCCACAGTAAATTACACTTTATAATTTGTTTCATAACTGTCAATTAATATGTGTCCACTTTCTTACAGCACTGAAGACTTGACAAAGATCTTGTCCCAAACAAAAAGTATGCCACAAAGTCAATGTGCTAGTGCCTCATCTAGTATTGCTGACATTACAGCTAGAGCTGAAATATTGCAAGAAAATCTGGAACCAAATATGTTATTTTCTAATAGTACTGTAAGTTTAAATAGTTTAGGAATGAATGATAGTATGTTTGATGCTGAGCAGTTTTCCGAAAATAAAACGGGAACCAGCACACCAAAATGGAAGGCAACTGCGACATTTGGAGATGTTTTAAGGACTAATAATGAAGTGGAACCTTTAAAAAGAAGAATATCTTTGCAAGAGAAAGTGGAATTTTCTGAGGAATCCAAGTCTTGACAGAAAGTTCTTAAATGTTTCTGTAAATGTATGTGAATGAATTATAATTCTTATTTCCAAAATTTAGTTTGTTTTCAAATATATTGGTGATAATGCAAAGTAAAATGAAATATCACCTAAAGATAATTAGCTTTTATTGAATTTTTTTTAATCATTAAATATTCATTAAAATTTTTGTTTGAGCATTCTTTATAAAATGCTCAATATGTGGATTGTTAACTGAATATAATAGTGATTAGTAATTTTGTTATCATATAACTATATTATATGTTCTAACATTTGTTATTTGATTTTTTCTGTGATATGTAATATTTGTATTTATTTTATATCATATTTGTCTGTATATTCAAATACTCGTAAGTATTTTTAAAAAAATTTAATTTCACTTCTTATTCAAACAGATTTTTATTGTTATAAAACTATTTTGCAATGATGTGAAAAGTTCTTTCCAATGGCTGCCAATTTGAAAAACAAAATTCAAAGACAAACCTTCCGCTTATTATTATTTAGTTTATATTCTTGACGAAAATGTAAGTGCAGTTTTAAAAGTTCTGAAATACCATTCAGATTTAATGACTTATTAAAATTATGTATTTTTACAAAAAACAAATATCAGATTAATTTGTGTCATCATTTTATTCAATAAAATAATTGTTTTATGTATTTAATGTATGCAATTGAAATATTAAATTTTACTTCAAATCTTTACCTTTAGGGATTTTAATTATTAATTTCAGTATTAGTCATTATTGACTTAAGATTGTGAAATAAAAATTCTCCATAATACATTATAGCTAAATGACTGCAATTTATAAACATTAATAATTTCTACCTATGCATCAAACTGAATTACTTATACTGATTTCTTAAGGTTTATCAAGCTTCCTAATTTCATTAAATTTTGGTTTCCCATTTACTGTCAACTTATGCCTACAGTATACTTCATTAAAAGAGTAAGTCCTTTGTTATTGACTTTGGAGTTTACATAAATAATTTAAATCGTTATTTATTGAGTGAAAAAGTTTTAATAACTGCAGTGATAAAAATAAATTGTACAGCTATAAATGAAAATTATTGATTGATTTTTAAATTAAATAACTTTTAATTTTAATTTCTTTTTTTGTATGCTTGTTTAAATTTCACATTTCTGTTAAATTATAAATTTATTTTACTTTTTTTCCCAAGCAACACATAACACATTACAATTTTACAAAAAGTGTCTACTGGATTTAGTTAATATATTATTTCTGAAAGCAGAGCGTTCAGTTAGGATACCAAAAATCCTATGGTAATATATTAGAAACTTCATTATTATAAGAGCCTGATTATCTGATACCCACTCATACATTATTTCAATTATCTGACATATTCAACTTTTGTAAGTTCACCGATACATGTTTCATTATTATTGCAGTACTTTTGTCTAGGGCTCTTAATCGAAGGTGTTTAAAGGTTACAGTGAATAGCTTTTATTTGGAACTTGTTATCATTAAAAACAAATCAAGTGTTGTAAAATTTTGGAAGAGTCACATGATAAAAGATGCAATTTTCAATGTAGCTAATGATTGGAGTATGTAATAAAAAAAGTTTTGCCAAAAACTTTTATCAAAGTGAAAAAAAGGGGACTGTTGTTGAGGAAACTAGATATGATATGTCAGATTTATTTCATTCATTTCTCACTACTTGTTTTTAGTAATTTTACTCACTCAAAGTTTAATATTTCTTACATTTAAAAAATCAACTCAACTTGAAAAAATCATCAAATTATCCAATAACTTCAATTTTCCAACAAACTCCTGGTTCTAAAGTTCTTGGATAATTGGGATTCTACTGTTGTATTACTATGATTCTACTGTTACAAATTACAATTGAACCTTGTTTTTAAATAGATCTGTAGAAACTGATGTCTAAATAAATTTTCCTTTTTGTGTATATTTTTCTAAGTAAAAATGTATGTAGAAATAGCAGATTTAACATTGCCATAAAACTAAAGCACAATTAAATTTTGCATTTTTAAAGTATTGAAGCAGCATGCATTAAGGAATTAATTGTAGTTATTTATTTTACAAATTAGTAAAAAGTGTTTTCAACATAAAATTCAAAAATATCAGTTGTTATGAATATTTTGTCTAGTTTTTGCATTTCTAAAAAAATAGTTTATTATAAGGCACTTTTTTGCAAAATAATAATAATCTTATAGGTATGTTTTAAATTTTGTATCTGTATTTAGCTTATTAATACAGTGGTTTGCTTGATTTCATCTGGTTGTGTAACATTTTGTACTCACATTTTGTTATGAAAGTTTAACAACTGATTCTAATTTATTTTCCTAGTCATGTATTTTAACTTAGGTTAAAAACAATCTAATTACAAATGTATAATCAAGATTTTTCTTATAGAAGTTAAATTCTTAATTACTGTGGAAATCAAATTAATTATTTAAAGTTGTTATAACAAAAAAAATTGCAAAACAAATATATAAATTTGTTGTATCTTACTTATTGGTACATTACATAGACAACTCAAATTCTTTAAATAGAATAGACTTGTTAAAATCATTCAGTACCTGGGCCTCCTAAATTTTAAAGGCTCCTATCATATATATTTTTTTTTCCAGTTATGTTTAACTCATAATCGAGTTAACTCTATTGAAAGATATAAAATATTTAGATTATAGTACCTGTTTTAGTTTTATCAAACAATTTGAAGTTTAAGATTTTCATTGAGATTATTTTATGCTTTACTTTTATTAAAAAAGTTTATTATATTTCTATTTACAAACTGTTATTCACTTTAATTATATTTAAAATCTACATCTTATTTATAATCAATATTATTTTTTAAATTTATATTTTTTTTTATAAATGAGTTATGACAGTACATAATTTGTAATTATGATTACCATAATTGTATATAAAAATGTATATAGCTAAAAAATATGCTTGAAATATTTTTTATGTCTAAAGCCTAAATAAAACATTATTTTTCCCTTGAACTATTGAAAATTTTCATTGCTTAACAAAGGAAATTTTAGTGTTGAAACACAGTTTCATAACAAAAGCTTATTCTTTATTGAAAAATGTTTCTATTTAAATTTTATCTTGTAAATTTAGCATATTAAGTTAAACTTACATACTTGAGTTTCATTTGTAGAATTTCGAGATCAAGTCATTGCATTGATATATTTGCTCCAGAAAATCATTATTTTATTCGCTTTTAATTGAACAAAAAAATCTTGATTTTAAAATTTAAAGCAGCTCTCCCCTATTTTTCTTTCTCTAAAGATCTTGTTTAAACTTTAAAACTCTTATTGATCTTACTTTAAAAATCTTATTAAGCTTTGGAGAAAAAAAATTATAAAAACCTGTAACATTTTGTATTATTGCTCTAAAAATTTGAGTTCAAAAGCTTGTATAGTTTTTATACTGGATTTGTCATATCTTTTTATTACAATATGTTGTAACTCCAATGTTGAGCTCTTAAAATACCATATCTTATAAATATTTCTAAGGGTGAGTAAAATAGGCTTCTTAAGTTTTTTCTATTTAATAGTTTAATGACAAATAGATGTTCAAAAGGAAATATTTATTTTATTCTTAGTTATTCTGTAATAATTGATTTTGAAATACACTGCTTATTTTATGACCTGCATCTGAATATGTGCACAGCCACAAGCTGACCTATTTTACCCTATAGGATGGGGCAAAATGGTACACAAACACAGTTAACACACACAAATTATAGCCACCTTTCATTCACAGCAATCTACCATTCTCTTGCAAATATATATTGCTACAATACGAGCCTTTATTATTGACTTAAAATATTGTTGTAAGTCAGTGTAACTGCTACAAATGTGGTTGCCATGTTCTGCTGCTTCATTTAATTCCATGCCCTCAATAGCTAATTATCATCAATTGTCGTCAAATGCATAACTTTTAGCTGGTTCATTTCATAATTTTTGCATTTCTGTCACTTATAAATTAGAATATGATCCCCAAGATAAAAACAAAATTTAATAAGACTCCATTTTTCCTTACCTCAAGACCTACTGTTTTGCTTAAATAATAAATCATGCAATTATTGATAAAATATCCTTTTTATAGCTATTTGTGACTTTAGTATTTCCACTTAACACAAAACAAATAAATTATACAAACATTGCACTTAATCAAGGTAATAAAAAAAAAGTAATAAATCTTACGAACAAACGTGTCTGTGACTCTTCCATCTGGAAATGAGCACCAGACACAATCTGCGCAACTTAGAACAATAGCCTACACATAATAGCACTCTATAACCAGAATTATTAAAAACTCCATTTTACTTTCCTGAATGATACAGGTGATCTTCTGGATTTAAAATTTCAATTGTAACAATGCTGATTCCTGGACAAAACTGTGTCACAAAGAGCAAGCCCAACTGTTTTTCTCTATGTATTCACTTCAATGTCTGCTCCCTTAATAGACTATTAAGTTGCAATTCTTAATACAGGGTGAGTAGCGTTTTTAAAAAGTGCTTAAAGGTGCTTATTTTCGTTTTTTAAAAGCCCTTAAAGGTGCTTTTTTCAATGGGTGTTTTTAAAAAGTGCTTAATTTTCCCTTTTCCAAAATGAGATTTTTTCTTTGCCATGTTTATTTTCTCCACGAATTATGCAAAAATACATTGTCCTATTCAGCGTTTTCACAATTAATTCAACTCCAGTCTATTTCAGCGTACCGTTGGTTCTTAGTGTATGAAAACACCATTCGTTTTACATGTTTTATGAAATACTTGCAGGTCTGCATTTGAGTATACTGAGCTCGATTCAGTGGGAAGGATTTTTGTCTCTCATGTGCAACTCGGCTGCATTTTGCAAGAAATTCTGAATTTCACATTTTATTTTCCGCCTTCTGGAATTGAACCGAAAAATCTCTAATTTTTGCTGATAACGGGAACCAACTAAACATTGTCAAAAAAAAAAAATTTCTCTTATAGCAATAGAAAATTTTGTTCTCTTGTTAATTTCATTGTTGGTGAAGCGCCATCGCCTTCATCACTGGCGAGCGAATAAAACCGGATAAAAAGATCAATTGTCAAAAGCTTGCCAACCCTGTTTAATTATGAATTTTTTTTAAAGTGCTTGAAAAATTTGACTACGCACCCGTAATACTTCCAGTGAAAATTTTAAATTAAAACGATTTTATATACCAGTATTGCTTTTTATTTCACATGGCATGATCCTGCAAAAATTAATTTTAAAAAAAATTCTTTTTATGAGTAATTTTTCAGCTTTAGAGATTCTAGAGTCTTTAAGGAGGCTAAAGATGATGGAAAGTTATAATTTTAAAATTTTAACAGTTTAATCACTTTAAGATAGTTCAAACTTTTATAAATTTATTTTTAGGACAGTTGGATTGTTGATATCTGTGACTAATTTAATGTGATGAATATCTGAGTCACTGTACTAGTGTAATGTCATAAGATATGTGACATCCATACAAAATCGAAAGTTTTACTGTGGATTTTTAAGATAATTGATATCTGATATGAATAATTGATATCTGAAGAAGAAAAAAAAAAGACTCAATATGAATGTTTGTATTAAATGGAGAAGTGATAAGTTT